CTAGGCTACCGCAGAAAAAACTCCCACCGCCGTCTCTGGAAGCATGCGATTGAAGAGCGGCCACTTGCCGGAGACTCCCATCATTGCGATGTCATTGTGGAACGGACGATTTCGGAAATCGACTTCTTCGGCCAGCTAAGGGATAATCTTATTCGGCTCAAGGGGCAAAAAGAGAAGCCAAGATATGTTGCGCTCCTCCGCCTCAACTGAGAGAATTTTTTTCTGGGGGACATTCCACGGAAATTCAACCAGAAAGCATCGTTTTTCGGGGGAGGATTCATCAATGCTTCGCCGAAGAATGAAATGAGAATCGAGAGAGTGAGCTGCTCATCGCAGGCTGCCGCGGCGGATTCTTTTGATTGGATTTCTTTTTCGACTGAAGATGCGACTTCATCGTCTACTCTCTTCCCCCGGCTCGGCATGGTCGACTCGATAGATGGTCGCGATAATTTCGTGAAGTGATGGCCTTCACCTTGCCGCGGAGGAGTATTGGGCGTATTCCGATAGAATAACGTTTCCTCGTTTTATTCCTCCTTCTTCTTCGCACAATGAGCTTAATCTGTATTGGCTGAGTTGGGTTATGCCCAATCCCTGATCGCCTGCCCCCTCCTGGTTCGCCGATTACATTCTATACGAATATCGCTTGTTCGATCCACTGGTATAGGTTATTGAGAAATCCGAGGAGTTTCCAGACGACCAGCGATTAAGGAATACGAGGAGGCCACAGCGCGGCGCCTGCTTGAATCTCTCCGTGCATTGTTAACAATGAATATTTCGGTGATACGAGGCAGCCAGACCAGGCCTTGTGTCCGGGATAATCTCGCCCGTCTCATTCGACTTCGGACACTTCACGTGTTTCCGTCTGCTTGTGACGGTCTGAGGCAGAGTTTGCGCATTCATTTCTTCAATACACTGTCGCTGAGGAGTTGTTCGTCGGAAAGTCGACTCCGATTGTCGGCGCTTTCGAGTTGAAACTTCAACAGTAGCGCTTCCTGACGAGAAAATAGCAGGAGCTGGAACGAGTCGCGCAAAAAAGACGACAGACGTACCGGCTCAGAAACGGTGTCGAAGATGCTGCTGAAGCCACTGCTGCTGCTGCCGCTACTAGCGGTGCGTGGGGATTCCTCGTGGGTTGTTGGCTTTCTCGCTTTGTTCGAACTATCGCACTGTCGAGAATGCCAGGTTCCTTCCCGACTCCGTACTTTTGTTTCTTGAATGCTCCGTCTTGTACCTCGGGTACAGATCCGGGAGACTCCGAAACGGGTAAATGCAGAAACGAGTGGTCTTGAGATGGAAAAACCCGGAGGGTGACACGCGACGAATGAAGTTTCAATTGGATCATCCCGCTCGACATTCGCGGTATCGATACCATGAAACGAAGCGATTTTTCCTTGTCATTTTTTAAGACTCCCTGATTTTGAAAATATAATCATTAACTGTCCGAAAAAACTCGGCCGAATCGGTGGCAGGCGTTCCCCAACGATCATTGAGCTTCGGTCTCTTCGATGGACGCCATGGATGTGTTAATTTATGGGAGTATCGAACAATTTGACGGTTTTTCCATGGTATCCGAAGACACCCAAGAGGAGTGCAATGTTTGCGGATCTATTTCAGCTCCTTCGCGAACGATGATGATGGGGATAATCGCTGTGATCCAAGGCATACGCATGTTGTGCAATACTTTCGCTTCGGAAGAGCATAATTGTTTGCACCGCGGGAGGGTCGCATTTGTGAGAAGAAGGATATTGTTGTTTTTCGGAGATCTCCTCGCGGTCGGACTTAATCGTTTCATCATTTCTGTCATCACCAGACTGATTTTGGAGCAATTTTCTTTAGCGAAAGATCCGGGCCTTGACTTCCCTGCCCCTACCTGCTCGCAAGATTCGTCGAGTCCCCCAGGCTTCATTGTGCTTCTTGGGACCAATGAAGAAAATACGGGGGAACTATATTCTGCATCAATTCGTTCCTGGTCCGAAAGGGTTCGTCATTGGCATAGGTCAGTTCAAGTTTCTCTGCCCGGTGTGATCGAAACGATCGCATCTGGATGAGAACGTCGTGCTCCCGAGGATTCCATTCCGATTCTCACGAGCTACCGGAGTTACAGCGGTCGGTATCCACTGCTTTGAATATCATTCGAAGTGGGGATTCCGAGATTCGGGTTCCCCTAGACTCCGGGGATTAATTTTCTCTCGCTCTCCTGACTGTCCACTTTCGCTCGCCGGCGACAGCGAAATGATTGTCAATGTCGCCGCTTACAGCTATCGACCACAGACTTGACAGTCTTCAGAGCGGAAGAGAAACAGAGGAGCTCTGGACGGAAACGCGATTCGGAGAATTACGCAAAACTCAGGAAAGAGACGAAATAAGCTGCGAAATAAGTTGCGAGGGTAGGAGCGCTTCGCATCAACATACACAGTGTCATACCGTCGGCGTCGTATCATCAAATGCTTCGGGCTCTGTGCCTCCCTTCTCCATCTCATTCCGATTCCGAGATGGAACGTATATCGAGCAAAGTTCTATACGATATTCTATTATCTATTATATGCGCCTTCATTACCCATCTCATTCTCCGTCTTCCTGCTTACGTACCGCCGACGATGATGCGGATGATGATGCTGATATTAAATCGAAATGTGATGAAGAAGTCGGCGCGTCGATTGAATTCAAGGTCCCATCGGTCAGATGACAATTTTAACCGGAGTTTTTTTTGGTGTTTCGTTTTTGTTATGTGTGGAGTCTAATGTCGTTTTGAGTTTCAAAAAATGGAGAGGAATGCGTATATTTCTGCCGAAAGCCGTTGCATAAAACCATTTGGAGAAGAAACTTCTTTTTTGGATGAAGTTTTTTTTGCTTGACGCTGGTCGATCCGACTCAAAAGCGTCGCCGCCTCGAACACATTTTATCAGGTGCAGCAGAATCTCTCGAGTCAATCGATGATCTGTTCGACCCAACAATTTTAGAATTGAGCTCGTTTTTTTTGGCGAAGCTAGAGCAGAGTGACCGGTCCTGATATCTACCATCATGTAGTGGTGGCGAGTGCTCTGGTCCTCCATTCGGCCTGCAGTTCCTGAAAAGTCTGCAGGAGGACTGCGCTCAATATCCCCAGGAGACTGCGGCAATGAACGGGACGGGTATCCGTACGGGGAGCCAGGAGGGTGGGCGGTTGGAGCCTTCTGGTCGTTTTCCGGAGCATTTGTGAGATCGATCTCTCTGTTGAGCCGCATGGGCGGCGGAAATGTAGGATGCGTTTGATCAGAAGTCACGCTTACATGTCAGTTGATGACTGGGCAGGTCTCTAACAAAAAATGGGCTTGATGTTTGATTCACATCCATGTAATTTTGCTTCCATTCCGAGTTTCTCTCTATTTCAGTTTGCTTTGTCCGACCGTGTTCCGGGTATCATTAGGGACTAGCGGCAAACTTTGTTTTGAGACGAGAAGCAGAGCTTCTCGAAAGCTTCCCGCGAGAAATGTCGAATGGAGACGCGCAAGGGGACAAAGGGAGCTCTTTCAAAGATTTCGAGGTGATGCAAGTGAAGTTGTCGATCTAGGAACGAATATCGAATTATCATGTATCATCAGTCGATATATCGAAGATGCCAGCGGGTTCTAAGAAGGGAGCCAGCCCTGGATACGCAAGGAAATTCAGGCTGAAAACTATGAGATGTAGCGGTCGCGGTCCGGTAGAAAGCCACCAAGAAAATAATTACACCCTGGATTACACTGCCAAATATCGAATCGGAGGGCGCGTTTACGTTCTTGAATTGGTCTCATTTCGAAAATCATCGATATGTCGACGACCCTCTGACTCCTCCCCGAACCGAATGACTTCAAAGAGAGCTTGGGAGCTTGAGAGCTTGGTCAAGTGCTAAAAGCCCGAATCGTCGATCACGATTCATCGATTCATGGCATCGGCCCGCTCGATGAGGGGATATACTTCCTCCGAACGCGGGTAAACCGCGGCTTCGAAGATCGGAAGGCACTGGAAATTGTAAACGATTGAGAAGTCGCGGGACTCGAGCGAGCTTTCTGCACCACAGCTGATACAAGGTTGGAATTCCATTGAGCGACGAAAGTTTTGCGCATAGAAATCCGTATTTCGAAATGCATCGTCTGACCGTTCACCTAGTTGACGATAGATGGGAGCCCCTGGATATGTATTCTTCGTAGAAGGGCAGTGCTCACCAAAACCAAGCCCAAGATTTAGAAGTCAAGCTATCGCTTGGTCGAATAAGTCGGTGTCAGCTGGCCATGGGGAGGGTCGGTAGCCCAGTTGAAACAATGTACCCACCTAGAGGTTGTCAACACGCAAGGCGGCGCTCTCCGCGCCGATTTCTCTGGATCGATGCAGTAGTGTCTGTCTGCCTGGTTAGAATTCGCTTTTTGTGTTCTGTCAATGAATTTGATCTGGCAGGAAAGAATTGTGCGAAAATTGAGATCGGGCCAGCCTGACCCCAACGGACCTCGGAGCTCCCTGGGAGGGAGGAATCAAGAGAGGGCGGGGAGTTTCTGGGGCTGCATTTGGGGGCATTGCCGAATTAAGTATCGATGTAGCCTAAAATCAAGTACAAGCCTCGGTGTTCGGAGAAGTATGGTTTAGTGATTGTGAATGACGTTTTCCGTCTAGAACAAGCGGTTCTTCGACTTTTTCTGCATCCCACCGTTCGCTTGCGTGAAAACTCGTTTCGAGCAATGCGCGAACTTTTTCTGTGGCTCTCACCGGAATGTCACAACGCTTCGGGCCCGCGCCGCTCAGACAGAACAAAGCGTCATCGACCCTTCGGACTCTCTGATATTCGACAAACTCCGAAAGAAAATTTGCTCCAATTACGAGCGTTTCATATGGAACAACGTGTCCTGTGAAGGCCGACTGGCGAAACACGGCCAGATGTCGAATGACATTGGACCACTTACACCTTAAAATCTCTCTCTCATAGGATGCACGTTCGGAGTTTCGGAGCCTTTTTGCCCTATTCATGAGAATTTCTATTCTGATTCCAGACGCTGAACTTACGCGAGCGAAGGAGGTCTTCGCATGGCCAGAGACTCACCAAGGATCGGATCGGGGCCCCTTTCAACTTCAAGTGAGTTTGCCGAGACGTCCTCGATACTGTCGATCTTCAGGCTGTCCCACAGATTCGTCTTGCGGTCTCAGGGAGACCTTTGAGAGTCGTTGAGAATTTTTCGCTCAGGCCGTTTTTCGTGAGCCGACGCGCAGTGCCAAAGCAACAGTGACAAGAGAAGACAGGAGTAGCTATCATAGTCGAGATGAACATGAACGGAGGCTTGATGGTGTTCATCTCCCAAAAATCCAGAGCTGTTTCTCCTGCGAGAAGCCATAGGGGCCGAGCCCCGGAGTCAGAAATGTTTTGGTACGCCCTGAAATCTCGGGGTTCTTTTTGGGTACGCTGGAGGAACCCTTTTGGATAAAAAGGAAACCCGTCCGGAGAGCGACTGAACGACAGTGAATAACCTAGTTTAGAAGTCAGGAGACGCGCAGCGACTCCATGAAGACATCTATGCGTCGAAGTCCACGCGAGACATGCTTCATAACTCGTACCCGTTCGGGTCTCCGGCCACAAACGAACAGGGCTGTCCTCGAAGTTCGTCTCATCGGCGGCTATCCCGTCGTGGATTCTCATGGAATACTCTCGGATCATTCTCCGAAGCTTATGGGCGCATCTGGGACTGTGTCAGGAAAATTCGAGAGTACCTCTTCGAAAGCACTCCCCCTGCTCATGGGAACCGAGGATTTCTTGCTTGAGCATCCCATCTTTCTGACTGAGAGCGAGTGATGGTTCTGACGGTACATCACAGCTAGAGAGAGGCGGGTAGCCCGATGAGGTCAGAGATGAAGGCGCCTCTTTTGCTCCTCGGCCTCAACTCCAGAACGGCTGGACTGATTCCGCAAAATTATGCCGCAATCAAACGCGGAGACGCTGATCTCTATTCTTATGACCTCACCTCACGAGATTCCAAGCTCGATCAAGGAGAGATTGCGCACCTAGGCCTTGATACAGATGGAAGATACGCTGGATATGCAGGAGACGCAGGAGCTGCGCGATAAAGGCGGAAAACAAGAGTTCCCAACCAACTTTCGTACGCTTCGCATTCGCTTCCGCACGAACTCGGAAAAAGGTTGAACACGAGACTTTGCATGAAACGAATACTTTCGTTTAGACCAGCCCACTCCAGTCGGGGTGAGAATCGACGGCAAGCCCCATCGCACTGCTGTTTCGGAATGTTGCCGGATGCGATAGCAATCGCTCCTCCGCTGTATGTATATACTCCGCGCCCACATGCCAACATCCGTCGAACTCCCATGTAATGGGGTCGGGGGACTCTTCAAGAGCCACGGATTCTTCTCCAGAACCGAGCTTGATTCGTTGAAGTTAGCGCCTGTCCCCCCCATCGAGCTCACTGGAGTTCTTCAGAGAGTGTCGCGGATCAACGTTACCGAGGTACCCTTACTGGTCTCGAGTTCTTGCGCTGATTTGCTGATCGGAATGTCCAGCGTCTCTCCGATTGTCGCCTCGATGGCATCGATCAGCTCTGGGTTCGTTGCGACTCAAAGTTCACTCGATCTGCCTCTCGAGAGCGCGCAGAGAACCGCCCCACGGCCCATTCCTGCGATGGTATAACCTCTGTTGGAGCTGGCGTCATCCATCTCGCAATCTCGCAGAATCACGGCCCTCATCACTTAGGCTTCTTCCCGCTTCGAATGTTTTGTTTTGTTTCGTTCCAGAATCGGAATCATTCATGGGACATGACGTATTCCTAAAGTAACTCAAGGTGAACACGTCGCAGCGGCAGACGAGGGAAATGTTCGCGGTATTTGAGCGAGATGCTTTGTGAGCTGTAAGCCGGTGCTACAACGGTCGACTCCGCTCAACACAGAATAGGGAAGCCTTTTGAGCAGCAATTCCCAATGTTTGTTTCGCTTGGAACCCCCTCATGTGACTGACTGCTTGACCCCTCGTGATGGAGTCTCGGGAGAAATCCGAAATACATATGACTTTACGATACTCTACGAAATCTCTCGATCAGTATTCACTCTAATCCGAGTCATGACCATGAATGAATGCTGCTATCAATGAAGTTTTCGTCGCCGATCCGAATTCTCTACCCTACTTTTGGGTGGTCGAGAAATCATCCGACTTCCCCGAGACCCCTTGTACGGATTCCGGGACTTCTAGGGTGTCCCAGGGCCCCCGGTTGGCAAGTGCTGCTACTCGGCTCATGTAAGTCCAAGAACAGTTGAGAGGACCTGGACACTCGTGCCCTGAGTAATCTGTTAGACCTTCAGTAAGTACATGCGGAGAAAGAATCATAGAGATAGTAGCGACTTCCTGATGAACGTCGGACCTGTTATCCGAAAGTTCAGCGCATTCAATCTGCTTCAACACAGGCCAGAGGGCTGCCGGGAGAGCCCTCCCAAATCTACAGTTCGAAAAGTGATCTCTATGGTGACTCGCTCCGGCCTCTATTTTGAGTTGTCAAAAGCTTAGCACGTCTCCATGGTTTTTATGCCCGGCGTCGACTCCTCCATTCCGAATCTACTCGAATGCAAGGTCCGATATTTCCCTGACCCTCGACTGCCTCCCGCTGTAGGAAGAGAACCCGTCGGGGGTTTCCCCGCTCGCCGGTGAGAAAGGTGCGGTATCCTGAGACCATTCGCAAAGAAACGGTCCGAAATTCTCTTGAGCGACTCGTATAGTATTGTGAAGAAACACTCCATAGCGGAATAGTCTTATTGTTCGATCCTGAAATACCGGTTGGCACCGATATCGGCTCCGGGAGATCGGAGTGCTTCTGGAACCGTTATACATGGAGTTTGCAGCTGTGAGGATGGCTCGAGAGGATGGCTTCCCTAATCAGACCATTTCCGAATCAGATTCTGGAACATATTTCTATCGTCGTCGGAGTAGCATCGCCAGTCTGATTCGGAGGATCGAGCGAAGATTGGGACCTCCCATTGATATCCCCTGCTCAGACCAGAGGCTCTTTGTGATCTTCATGCAATCAGCAGATCGGGTCGACTCTTCTGTGACCCACTGTGCCACCACATAAGAGGAATTAGCCGTCCTCAGTCCAGAGGCGACTCGAGAACCGCGCATCATTCTGACTGGAAGCTCTCGCATCGCATGGTGCGAAATTGAGAGCCAGAGGGTATAAATGTACGGATCAAAGAGAAAATCTTGGGGCTCTGACGAGTTTAGTCTCCCAAGTCGAAACACGTGTTCCCTTGTCTCTTCGCATGATATCATGCCGATGGAAACCTTCGGTCACCGCTTGCGAAAGTCTCCAAAGGTTTCATAGATTGTTCATAAGCTGCTGCTCCGAGATATTGTGTTCAGGAGAATTGCCGCGACCGCTAGTCCATGCTGAAGGTCGTTGCGGGCGACAAACGTTTATTCGCAATTTATCGTTTCGGTACCGTGATGAACAAAATAGTGACTGTGCTTTGTTGCAGTCGCATAAATGTCACTAACAGAGATCCGGTCAGACGTCTGTTCGCCTGTGGTGATGAGCCAGTCGGTACAGCGACAGAAACGACCACGATCAAATGGCAATGTATTTAATCTTGACAAAACTCTGAGAGTCAGCGACTTTTCTTGAGTTTCTTTGGAAATCGTTGTGAAAGCGATTTCACGTTGGTGGGCTAGAATTCGCTCCTTGCGACGCACAGCTGATCCATATACCTTAGTACAAGAGGATAAATATGCTCTTGGGGAAGCGTATATCCCAGCGAAGGTGCCAGAAATCATCTCCCGAGCGAACGAGTTTGTCTCTCAGCTCGGCTCTCGCTGTCGTTGGCGCAGCGATCGAACTTCGCCGAAATGCCCCGAAGATATTGTCGCTCCCCGGTGACGACAGGATTCACAGGATCCGGGAGGCTCCGGGAAATCGGGAAATAGAATGAGTGGACCTCGACTTGAAAGAAGTACGGTCTGATGCTCAATTGCCCTTAATTAATAAATTGGCGGTCGGAGAATTGCTTTCGACGCAACGTGTATCCATGCGGCATGTCATTATCATGCAACATCAATATTTCAAAGGTTCCAATATATACGAGGCGTTTCATAAGAAACGAGCCAAGTCCGGTGCTTAGACGCTTCGAGGCTCGATCGCTTCCCGGCCGCGCCCCAATGGCTAACGGTGGCCACGAATGACACCACAATAGGCATCTCTCAAAAAATATTTCTCTAGTCAGAAAATGATTCTGCTAGGCTGGCATTTTACCATTCCGGCGACGTCGCACGCTCAGAGAGGAAACCCTACTCCAACCGCCACCAGTACAGGGCAAGCGAAACACGCCCACTCCCCTGGACGAAACCGTGGAAGACAGTCGGAAGGCCTGGAATCCATCCTGGTTCCGCTGGTCTGGCACGGATATTTTTTCTTCTGGTCTTCGATGTCCGTTCTTCGGACCAACAACGGTTCCTCGTTATTGAGTGAGTGCTCCAAGCAGTGGGAGATCAGCGTTGAGACGATGTCCAACGCTCTCCCCATCGCGTGGTATGTTCGGACAACGGTCAGAATATCCGTATCGCGGGAATTCTTCCCCGGCGAGGTCGTTCGAACCTCGTCCGAGAAGTTGGGGCCTATCGGACCGGTCTTCGCTTGTTCTTGTGATTCCTACATCGGACAAACGGATCTTCGGTGGCGGGGTAACCCCTTCGTTAAGTTGACGGTCTGACGCCTATTCTCTCTGATGAGTTGGTGCGGAAAAGTGCCCGGAGTTGACGGTGTGCTGAAGCTGACCTGGAAATCGATATCGATTAAGGAAACAAATTGCTCGAATCATTGATTTCTAGCTGTCACCAATACATTGTTCAAGCGCTTCGATATCGGGCGCGCATCGATTAGCGAGAGGGCGAATGCAAACCGGCAGGTGAGTCGCTTCGAATCTTCCGGAGTGTCGTCGGAACTCATGGACATCGCTCCGACTTTCCGAGTGGCTCCTATTGAGATCGTCTGAGAATTCCTGATGATCTGGGAATCACCCCAGACTGGTCCGCAGTTCGGACGCGCGAGAATTTCGAACGAAAGGTCAACGGCTACTGCGAAGCGCAAATGCGAGGATGAGTAGTCATCTGGTGTTTCTGTTCAAGCAACAACTACTAAAATAACCTGGTCGTTTGCGGATCCGTGATGAAGAAAGCGCGCGGGGAATTCCTGAGGCTTGATTCCAGATGTTGGTAAACACAATTACAAACCGATAGGATTTCTACACTGCAGTCGGTCTCACAGAATTCTCAGATTGTCAACAACTGGCCCATCGTCAAATCTGTCAGCGCCGTTAAACTTGGTTCTCATTGGTCAACAACCATCGAGGATTTCAGGGATCGAAGGAAACAAGCGAAGAAAAATTTTGATCTTATCCTGTACGACAATGCGTTGCCCTTGAAACCCTGCTATTTACGTATAACGGCGGGACGCGGTCAGCCGCGAGATGTTTGATTCTCGTACAGCTTTCCTTCGCACCCAGTGTTGACTTTCCTCTCTTCGAAAGTCGCTGAGGGTCGAGGGTCTCGGTTTTCAACACGCGACGATTCTGATACACTTCTCCGTCTGGAATGCCGATCCTCGCTCGAGTTCCCACATAATAAATCTATGGCGAGAGTGCCCAAAATTCGCATAATTCGAAAATGGAGGCAGAGTCTAGGGTTTCGGAGAATTTCGAAGAATCCAAATATCGGACGATCCATCGACGGGAACTAAAAGCTGTACGGACGACGTTACACGGTCCCTCATATCTCCGATTGGACAGCTACCGCTCCGTTAGTTGAATTCCGTTCCGAATCAGTATCTCATCCGCGAACTTCTCGTGGTCGTCATCCTTGACAGTCCAACGTACCCGTCATTTCGACGACGTTGCACGATTATGAAAGCATTTGGACTCGGTCGGAAATAATTCCCCATTCATCTGAAGCCGTGAGTCAGTCGGGACATTTTCCGTCCATCGCATCTCGTCCGAAACTAGCGAAACATTCAAATAAAATCAAATATCAAACTCAATCGCCAAAGTTGACCACGCTTCGATCGACTCCTTGCGCAGACATCATAACGCAGAGCGTGAGTTTGAAACACGCGAATCGAGGCAGTACATTTCGAGCCGTGAATCAGGCTGGTTTTGAATCGAGTCGATTTTGCCGAGCAATATATTCACGTTATTGCAAGGTGAGATAACAACAGTTCTTCTTCAGTATTTGAGCATGTAGTTTGCGCGTCTATTTCGGCGGTGGTTCTGCGCCCCCATGGGGAGACCGAAGCAATGTCAAGGCTCTTCGGACTTGGAAGAAACCTGTCTTCATCTATGCCGCTATCGCATCGGCAGCGCGATCATGGGTTTCAAGCGACGGTTCGATGGAGTTTTCCCGAGAGAATCAAAGTTTGAGCAGCTACCCGAATGACTCGATCTAAGTCGGGGCGGGGAACTTCCGTTGATCACGAAGTTCTCAATCAGTAACGCTCCGGAATCGGACTGACTAATGTCTGAAGCTCTCGCCTTACCGATTCCAAGCCGCTCCAGTGCTCGCTCATATTTGCCGAAGTACTCGCATCGGATCCTGGCAAGAAACGCGTGACCCCAAATTGAATTTCAGAGCGTATGAACACGAGTCTCAATCCCTTGAAAGTCGACGTCGATTCACTCTCTAATGGTCATCTGATTACCCGTCCTGTGAATGTTGCCGATCTGCGCCGGCAAGGTTCCACTTGAATTTGATCCGCATGCACCGAGAAAATGTTTCGCGCTGGGATCTCTCTTCAAAAGCAATTTTCCTGTCTTGAGAATCATTTGGAACTTCACAGTTGATTTGTCGTCAACCGTTTTCGGTCGATTCTGAAGATTTAAAAGAAAACGGGGTGGAGCTCCTTCCTCTGGGATTTCTCTTCTGACCCTTCGAGACCGTTATTGGAAGAATCTAATCTTTCGGTCGGCAAAGACCGCTGTGGCCCGGCCGGACCTCACGAAGAACTTGGGCCAGACCTCACATTGTGTAAATGCTAACTACTTTTTCGGTGAGGTACACCTCTCGAGAGAGCTTTATGGTATGCCACGTGGAAATGGGGACTGTGCATAGTCAGTAAAGTTCCGTGAGATCTCCCGGCGGTGATTCGTCGGACAGAAACGCTTCCTGTCGCACCTCAGCTCATGCGTAGGCGCTGACACGATAGCATGCATCAACTGAGCTCCATTTTTCCATTTCAGTCACGTTCAGGGTGTTTACCAGGACTCGCCTCAGCAATACATTGTGAGTACAGACTTCAACTTTTAGCCAAAAGTCGCCATGACACGCTTGATTACTCCTGACAGAAAAGCTTGAAACAGCTGACATCTCCGCGGAGGAGATTTTTATCAATAGTCGTATTGTCGAGCCTCCGTCTCGCTCCAGGTCCAGAAAATTCACCGATCAGAAAAGTCATTCTTCCTTCCCGATTTCTCTCCATTCTGTCAATTTCCCGTTTTCACCGTTCCCCTTGAGCGTTCTCTATCTGTCCAGAGACACAGCCGTCTTCTGTCGATAGACCGTCGATCAGTTCGTTGATGAGAATAGATCGAAACACTTGGAACGATACATGTTGGATTACTATGGAACGCTCGGAGCTACTCTTCAGAATGAATGGCGGAAGTAGTGAAAGGTCTGCTCCGGCTCGGATCCTAACCTTCCGGCAAGCGACAACGAACTTTCTCTCGAATATGATATACTAGGTTACGCGCATGAGGTGCTCTGGCCCAGTTCATGCACCGCCGGCTCCAAAAAGCTCATCAAAGACAGTCTATTCAGATGTCTCTGCCTGAATCGCTTAGTTTATTGTCCCCCAGTCGGGTAGTTCGCCCGTTATTAACCTGACTCACCATCCGGAAGATCCGAGGGCTTGCAAGCCTCAGGCCAGCAGTCGATCTGCGGTCAAATACGACTTCCTCATTTCCGACTTTACTTTTTTCTGAACGATTTTCCAGCCCTGAGCATGCCTGATTAGCTGTGACATATTGTGGGGGTCTCCTTTGTCTAGGAACGGAACAGAAATCAAATGTCCGACATAGCCTCGCCAATTCACGCGCTCTTCTTACTTGGCATAGAGAATTCCTTCTCCCTCTCCCACAGTCTCTCCGGCTGCCCGATCAACGTTCTCACAGGCTCGTGTCACGCATCCGACCTTCAAACAAATCAAGAATCTATAGCTCCCGGAGCAGTTTCATCTCTTCTTGCCCGTCTAAAGAAGACGTCGGACAGCTCCTTCGTTCCTTCGTTCGTCCGCCCAGACGGCCGACCGCCCATCTATCTGTAGAAAGGTTCGGCGGTCTGTTTTCCGCTCTTCGGACGGTAGTCAAGTTGCCGGCAAAGATCACGGTCTCAACCTTGATTGGTCAGGGAATCTATCCAAAAAGCAAATCCTCTTCCGGCTCGGACATGCGGCTTATCTCGCAGTTCGTCGCTGGTCCCGAATCCATTATTCTTCTTGAGCATAGAATGCTCCGTATCATTCCTTGAAATGTACTTTGAGTCATTTCTGTGGCGATCGGCCGATTGCTGGGTCGCTCGCGCGCTCGCTCACTCGCTCGAAATTTTGTCGCTGTGTCAGTCCGTCCAAGTATGGATATCTGTCAAATTCATCGGGCAGAGCAATTGTTCACGTTTTCTGGTCGGTGCTGTTGACCATGTATCGCCCATTGCTGCTCAGATCCGCTGGACATCGATGAGGAATCGCCCATTTCCGATTTCAATCTCGTTCGGGACCCGCGCGGAACGACCCGACTCGTGGGCGGTTTTCGTTCTCAATACGATCGCTGCCGCGATTCGAGCCGGAGCAATGCGCCGAGCAATGATACAGTGTAGCGGACTCGACCAGGCGAGCTATCGTGTATCAGTTTACATCTCATTCTTAGGGCTGGTTGCAAGCCGGTTCATTCGCGACCCGAGTGAAATGAGTTTCTTGTTGTTTCGAGATGGGGTCCACGATTCCGCGCGGAGGATCTCGCCCCACTTGAGCTCGGACCTTTCAGATCGACCGTCGTGGATATGCGTGAAGATGGGCAGATGCACCCTGAAGGTCTCATTGTTCTGTTTAACGCTCGCGTCTCAAGAATGTGGTTCCCTTGAGAGGCTATCGGGCGTCCAGTCGCTGTCGCTGGTCCCTGAAAATCTCCCAACGATGGCTACTTTCGGATTGAGAATGGACCAGGGCCCATCCAAGAATCGTAGATTTAGCGCTAGTTCATCGTCACTTGTCATCCACCAGAAGAAGGACAATAAGAAGCCCTGAGAAAAGCAAATAAAAATTGGGATAAAACCGCGAGATGAACGGTCATCATCCAGGGATGAGCGAAGAACGCAGAGAACTTCGCTGATCAACCGTTTAGGTAGATTGCGATCCGACGGACTGGGATACTTTTAGGTAATTCACCCGAAGAAGACTCCAGCGAAGGTGATTGTTATCTGACCGCGGCGGTAATAAGAAATTAGCGAGGCGAATGAATCGATGGAGGCAACCGAAATTCCTCCGTAGACGAGGTCGTCCGCGGGCGTTGATGTCTTGATCTCAAGCGATCATTTGACGCGACCTGGGACCATCTGAGCTGGAGCTCTGCGTACCTGTAGACCGAGCACAGCCAGGGTTCCCTTCGGGCAAAAGCTCGCAATCCGTAGTGGATCTCACAGCGCTTCAGAGGGTTTCGGTTTTTTTTGTTCGATTTAACAATTGTCTTGTTACGTCGAGGTTGTGCGGAACGCATCATCGCCGAACACTTCGCCCTCACCACGAGCTCTCACCTGCGGTCTGCTGAGCGGTCGCACGCGCGCAATTCGGCTTGCTTGTTCGTTTCTGTTCTGTCAGCTGGCGTCGTTGACGACGCGAAACTGTCGAGCGAGAAGGATTGTTTCGGTGCTCATAGGGTAGTTGTGTTCGGTGACAGCTCACTCTCAAAGATGTCATTGTCGATGAGGATTAAAAAACGCTTCCCGCTCTTACTGAACGCGAAAGCATGCCCGGATGAAAAATCGGTGAGTTAGGCCATAATCGTTCCCCGGCGGTTCCCGGAAAAGATCTCCCACGCATCACGTCGACTTGACGTTATTCTTGGCATCGATCCTTATCTATTTCGACATACTCGCTCCCCGCGAGGAGGTTGACGGAGCTGATCGACGCTGCAGAGCTCATGACTCTCGGAACGGTCCATTGTCGATGCTCCTAGAGGGGACAAGCACCTATTCCGGAGCTTTCCGCGCAGTGCCACAACTCGGTGATTGTGGAAAATTCATTTTGTTCCGGATTATCGCGGCAACTCCTGAATACGATCGTTTGATTCCTTGAATATCCGCCGCGTCTTGGACGCGGTATTCAAATTTGGGAGCATGTGAAGAGCTGCTGAGAAAAAAAGGACCTTCGGAACTCTGAAGAAATACATAGTCGGCGAGCGCAGTCATCTCGGATCCGAGAACAATGGATTGGCGACGGGGCCGCGACTTCACGGAATCGGAAATTTTTAAAAGGCCACACCTCGGAGCTTACTTAAGCTCATGGCTCATGATCAGATGGCGGGCTTCGTGCGGGCCCAAGTGGCTTTTTTTGCGAGTTCCTTTGTTGGATTCTCACGGTGAATTGAAAACTACAGTCGTACACGACTCCAACGGGGGAGTCCTTTCAATTTCTCGTGCGAATCCTCCAATCCCTAGAAGACGAGGTCCTCTTCCTGAAGGTCGGTCGCCACGGAGCGTCTTCCGATTTCTTGCGACTGATCTTTCCAGTGCAGAAGTTGTCCCCGACGTTTCTCCCAGACTCCGAACGAGGGAATAATCGTCACTCAGAAAGCGACTCGAATCGGAGTACATATGTATGAGCCCGACGGGAGGTATAAGGACCGCGTCGGGGGTAGGACTAAGATTCCTCGATCATTTTTGCTCATTCGAGACAGATCAGAACGACCATGTCCAGGGGTATTGACTGCACGAGACAAGTGAATTGGTACTTTCTCTCTTCCACTCCGGTGATCCTCCCACACAGAGCGACGTACAGGCTAAATCGCGAGAGAACAGACAGTCGTACCTGTATCTCTCTGTGTACGGGAAGAAATGTGTCGAGGCTCGAAAAGTCTCCCGGAGGCGCTTTGAGATATGTGATGTATCGGCGGAAGAATATCGCAAGGGAGCCACGCGAGGAATGTCCATATTGATTTACTGGAATCATCCCCGTAAGTCAGAAAAAAAGTCATTGTAAATCGAGCTGAGATTTCGAAATAGGGAGGAGCCATGGGCTTTACTAGCGCGGACGTTATCGGTGAAATGATTCGGGAATATTCTCTCACGACATATTGACGTCCTCACCAGCCAGGCTCGGCTTCCGAGGCTCTTACGATGTTTAGAGTCATGGATCAAGTTCAGGTTCCATCAGCATGATCAGACGACAGCGGGGCATCGAAAGGGGTCAGTTTCCTCTAAACCATCGACCCACTTACCTCAGAATTCCCCCGGAGACGCTCGATGGGGTCGGTCGCCGGCACAATCGCTTGATGATTCATCTCATAGCGTGCACTCTGAGCCTGGGGAATGTGGTATCCAGCCAGGCGATGTCGACCGAAGGAGCTCTCCGC